GCGTATTAGTCAATATGTGCGAATTAGGTACAAAACAAGGTAACAAGTGTAGAGAAGAGGCAGGAATTGAAGATCGTGGCCTAGAAGTTGAAGATCACGGCCGGGATCACAAGCCACAAAGACCAGCTGAAGATCGCAGCCCAGAAGCCATAGATCGCGACCACGATCTTAGAGGCCCAGGACGCGAACTTCGCATGGAAGGAGCCTTGGAGAAGTAGAGAGTCTCCCCAGTCGCATAACGACCTATGTTCATTCTGTCCGCGAGGAAGATGGCGGTCGCGACTTGTGGATTGCGGCCGCGAAGTTAACATGCAATCTTTCCCATTCCAAAGGCCTTGACGACTGCGTTTTGAGATCACGGCCCAGAGACAAAATATCTCGCCCGCGATCTCCTTACCTCAAACCGTGAACTTTCTCCAGTCCAGAATGCCTATAAATACAAGACCCCTTTCCCCCTTTTGAAGGGAGCTGATTTTGAAATGAACTTTCTGGTTCTAAAGAGAGAGAAGAGAGAGAAGCTGAAGGAAGGACAAGAGAAGGAGAAGAAGGATGATCTAGGAGCAAGGAGGCATCTTCTTCAACCCCATGTCTTCTTCTATTTCTATCATGTATCTTCTTCCCTCCTTTATGGACTAGTCCTCTAAGGTACTAGGGGTTATAAACCCCAAATCCTAGTTTTAGAGTTTACTATGTATGCATGAATATTTTAGGGTTTGAATAAATGAATGTGTTTGTCTAGTTGATTTTAATGCCACTCTCTCTTAAATGATGACGCTTGGGTAATTTGCCATAATCTTCCCTCTTAGCCTACTTTATGCTACCGCGCTGGGTATGGAGTTCTAGAGTTAGACGAGTATACGCCAACTGGCGAGTTTATGTTAGATGTGTGGATGGGGGCCTATAGTGGTCGAGGCGATCGAACCACTTCTAAAGGTAGCCTTCCTAGATGAAACCCGCGATGAAACCTCGTTGTGGACGATGGATAGTGTCAATTGAAATGAGCCATAAGCTTAATGCCCCAGATACGATAGCCTAGATCAAGGTGACTGGAACATTGGTTTAGGGGAGGCATACTGAGAGGCGTGTGGATAACCACAAAATCCCATGGAAAAGAGCACACTCACCACATTCAATGACCCTAAGTATCTAGATATGCATAGTGACCATAAGCTAAGGGAAGAATAGTTCCCCGAAGTACCTGCTTTTAGCTTTGATCAACCTCTAGCTAACGTTTCCTCATATCCTCCACTCAAACCCTCAAAAACCGATTAACTAATTAGAAGCTAGGTGAGAAGTAGGCTAGGGTACCAGGACTCAAGTAGAATACGACCTTGATTGCCACTATACGACAATGTCGTTCTAGGTTAAACTTGGCTTAAGATGAGATAGTTGTTGATACTTGCTAACCTCTAACAATAACATGCACAGATTCAAGTGATCAAGCACCCAACTGAGGGTATTGCTAGCAACTAAGTAGTAGCGGACTAGCGGAGAGTGCCAAGAGTGACAGCCACCAGTGACGCCTAACCAAGAAGATTGACGCTTGATGCCCGCTAGAATTTTATAAAGGCTTCTAAATTCTCCAAGAGGGGACTCAACATCTTCACCCTCACTTTATATTTTGGTTCTCTCTCTAATTATTCTTTTAACTCACTATAAGTTACGAACTAACTTGTTTGTCAGAGTATATTTTGGGGACATCCCTGTCATCTCACAGTTTCCCTTCCTCCCGACGAGATTAGACGAGCAGATCGCGAGTCAAGTCCCACGCAACCCATAATTATTGTTTGTGCCCGGAGCTAGATGGCACAAACAGATACCATGGTTGTCATGGCGGCCGATTGAACCTAGTTCAACTAGTTCCAGTCATGAAGCCGGCTTGAACAACACTGGTATGACTGACATGATCAATTTAACACAATTAAGCAAAATCATGTCATTTTAGTGAATTCAATTGAAAAATATATTATTTATTTATAAATAAAAGTTAAGTATTGATAGTATTTGTTGGATTCAAGTATAAATATTGTATTTAAATATGAATATTTGTTATTTTCTTTGAAATATCATATTTTATTTAAATATGAATATGATTTATAAGTAAATTCTAAATTGTCTCCAAATATAATTTATACATGATTACATTCATTTGATGTCAATGATTTTTCACATTTCTACATATTTTGTTAAACCAGCATAAACTGGCTCAAACAAGTTGTACAATTTGTCGAATTTTTTCACTTGCTAAACCGTCACATTAGTATAAACGGTTTGACAACTATGGATTGCCATATTGGATCATCGCCCGTGAAGCCCGCTCCTAAGACCAATGCTTTTTAAGAGTCTAAGACTCTTGAACCAGAGACACTCTAACTAAATGGCGTCTCCCATTCAGCATTTGCCGGCAGTGAACAAGAATTCCAGCAACCAACGTTAATTGGCTCCGGAAGATGCGTCCATGCCTTGGGATTAGACAGCGAGAGTGATAGCAAGGTCAAGTATGGCGAAGAGGAGGCTGCTACTGCTCTTGAAGCCTTTTGACATGTACCCGGTTGGCCAACACTTCTGTCAGTCCCGCATTACCAATCCCAAGGTGAATGCATTTCCACGAACTACCCAACTTTTACTTCTCCGTTGGTTTTGTGAGGGTGTTAGTTAGTTTAATTATTAAAATGGTAGGGAATCGATGGGTCTTCTTTCTGGGTTTCTTGTCTTGTGTTCAGCTTGAATGTCACGAAGACGTCCTGTTCGACGAAATGCCTCACTCAGGACAAAGTTCCCCTTTTTGCTTTTATGGGGTCTGCGTCTATTTCATTCTGGATCCTATACCTTGAGGCTTGGGCTGTTAACAATCCAATTGACTTATCAATCAATTTTTGTTACAACAAGAGTTTCTTCAGCTTAGTCATGCTCTGTTGTAGAGTTCGACGTGATATATGAGGTATAGAGGTTGAATGATCCCCGATTTCTGTAAGGAGAACTTCTTGGCACCAAAGTTTCTCTATTTATTCTACCCCTGTTCTTTGTTTTTTCCCCTTTCTGGAGCTAAAAGCTCTTTTGCATAATTCGAAATAATTCAATTGCCGAGTTAAGCCCTTTGTCGGCTGTTGCTTGCCTCTCCTTATATCTAATGTGGACATCTATCATTGCAGATTTTTCAATTCCTAGATAATAGGCGGAAGGTCCACAAAGAAGCTGTGAACTTCTGTCAGAGCATTTTACAGAGGAAGGCAGTTGATTGGGAACCGGTTTTGCGTGCTAACCTGTCTCAACCAATTCATAATTTTGATTTTGTTGTTACTGTTGGTGGTGATGGCACTCTTCTGAAAGCAAGTCATTTCATGGACGATTCAATTCCGGTTCTTGGAGTGAACTCAGACCCAACTAAAGTTGAAGAGGTAGGGCTCTTGGTCCAGTCTATGTAGCATCTGGGAGTTTGCTGCATTTTACACTTGATTTCAGTGCCTTCTCTTGTAGGTTGAGGAATTTGGTGACGATTTTGATGCTACCAGGAGCACTGGCTACCTGTGTGCAGCAACTATGAATAACTTTGAACAAGTATAAACTTACCTTGTGTGTTTGTTATAGTATGATTGAAATCGTTCTTCTGCTAAAGGGACATCCTGTCCTTCCTCATTCCTAGCTGACACAAATCTATTCAGGTTCTAGATGATATCCTAGACGGTCGTAAACAGCCTTCCGAATTGTTGAGGATGTCGATACGAGTAAACTCACAGCTGTTATCAACGTTTGCCCTTAACGACATATTGGTAGCACACCCATGCCCTGCAACAGTCTCTCGATTTTCATTTAGGTAAAGGGGCGTTTTTACTGTTTGCTAGAAAACCAAATACGCTGCTGGGATGTTATCCATCTTGTTTCCTTGTTTTTGGCAGGATTACAAGGGGTGACAAATCAAGTACGCCACTAGTGCACTGTAGATCAAGTGGCATCAGAGTCTCAACTGCTGCCGGTTCAACAGCTGCAATGCTCTCAGCAGGTGGATTCGAGATGCCGATCTTATCGCAAGACCTCCAATACATGGTTCGAGAACCCATTTCACCTGCAACTGTTGTTTCTAGCTTGATGATGCATGGGACTATGAAGCCAGACGAGGCCATGGAGATGACTTGGTCCTCAGAGAAGGGATTTCTATACATTGACGGTTCCAACGTTGTGCATAGTATTCAGTATGGAGACACAATTCAAACGTCTGTTGCAGCCCCTCATTTGAAAGTTTTCTTGCCCGACAGGCTGGAGTCCTCATGAACAATTCAGACTAGAACCACTAATGTAAATAAGAAAGCAAAGGTCTGCAACATGTTCTTGTTCTGGTTGTCCACCTGTAAAGATACCGAGCAAATTCCCTAACTTCATCAACGGGTTGCTCGGTGCTCCAAAAGCTAGGTTAGAAGCTTCAGCAGCTTTTCTGTTCCCAGAATAAGGTCTGGCTGTTTGTTTGAGTGGTGTACTACAGAAGTGCTTAGATGTCAACATCAGAATTCGCACAGTTCTGCCTTGGTTGCCATATCTGCTTCCCGGACCCTGGATTTGCAGGAGTTACAACTATCCAACCTGCATCAAGTGCTGTCAAATGGTTTTGGAAATAGTTTGTTGAAAGTTGGTATTAGAATTTAGCCTCCCCTGTATTTGATTTCAGTATTGACAAACTGATTCACTGTCTTTAAACCTTGAAGATCTGTTTGGGTGCTACTCATTCTACTTTGTGCCACCAGCAGTACGACTCCAGGAAGATAAAATATTGGCGAGGTTAGGTGCGCTTTTTTGAACCATGGTTTATGTATACCCAAACATGAGAATTGAGTCCAACTACTGCATTTTGAGAAAACTGACCCCAATTACCACAGCTAAACAGCCCCTTAGTACTGAGAGTGACAGCCAAAAAGAGACCTCCACAGGACTGCATGCATTAATAGTAAAAAACCAGGAATGCAATGTGAAACACAAGAGGCTAATAAGAAATCAGAGAGCGCCATAACCCCATTCATTAATCAATTAACAGTATCCCTTACAGTTGAAACATGCAACATTAACAACACAAACCATCAACATATATATATACAACAGATGGATAACAGCAGTACGATCATGCAACTTAAGTGAGGCCCCATCTACAGGGGAAATTAGTCATCAACATCAACTATTTAACATAATTTCCCCCACTGGTATTAGCAGTGTCTTTACACATAAAAACTTGTTCATTCAACTACCAACTATGGTATTGATGCCTACCAATCTCTTTCCAGCAGTTTAAACTGTTGCAGTGCATGGATTCTTTTGAGCCCCTTTTTGCTCTAGCTCCCTTGTGTGGAAATCTGAGTCCCCGACTCATAAACCCTAATTAAAAATGGCCCCTCTCTGGATCATCAGTAGCAACTTATTGATGGAGTGGATGCATACTGTTTGTCCACAACTTCAATTAGCTTGTTGGCTATGGCACTTGCATACACAGAAGACCCTTCACATATCTGCTCCAATTCAAAACAACAACAAGAATAAGTTCAACTATGTAGGCTCAGTTACCAACATGGAAACACAATAGGAGAAACTCAACTCCAAACCAACAAGAAAAGAAAAGACTAGGCAGACCTTGGTATTGAAGAGAAAACTGTAAAAATCACCCACATGGCCTCTAGCGACATGGTGAAGATCCAAATGAAGCTCATCAAGCACCCTGGAAACAAACATCAAGCAATTGATCTTCTTCCTCTGAACCAACTTAATGGTCACCTCATCTTCAATGATCCTCACATCAATCTCCGTGTCCTTAGACTTCCTCTGAAGTGAAGCCAAGCGCTCCTCAATGTCGACCCATTGTAGGATTTGTCCTGTTCATCAACCTCGGCAGCTGCGGACGAAGCTTTCATCTCCTCCAACGAGCTCTCCTTCACGTCCTCTTGATCCGTCCTGTGCCTCTTGATCCTCCATCTGCTGCACCTCTTCTTCTCCACCAGCAACTTCAGTTCCTCCACTGTGCTTAAAAGCTCCTTGATGTAGCCAATTGCGTCTCCCAGACTCCCACTACTAAAGCTTTGTCGGTCTTTTTGGCACAACCCCCACAAACACACCATCCATGAATGAAATTGGCAATTAAAATTGTAGGAAGGTCGGGAAAATTGCAATTCAATGTTAACCTGGCTTTACCTTGGTAGGATTGGGAATCAAATTCCTGAGGGTGTCGAACTTGTCGTTAACTTGCTGCCTCCTCTGGCGCTCTGTTGTCAGTGGCTTGGCCATTCTTCCAGCTGCCCTCCCTTTGGCTAGACAAGCCGCTATGTCCCAATTGAACTCCAAAACGATGCTGAGATCCATCGATCCCGTCTGCTGCGTTAATCCCACCTACAGAGGAGGCGCCGCCGCCCACGCTGCTTCCTTCTCCATGGAGGTCGACTCCGCCGTGGGAGGGGAGGTACTGGAAAGGAATAGATCCCTGAAGAGAGGCGGCTGCTGCGGTAGGTTGAGGTAGGAAAGCGGGTCGTAGTGGAGGGAAGAGGCAGAGTGAGATGGGAAGGGAGGAACTGGGGTCGGCGGTGGTGAAGGAGATGGAGGAATTTGTGAGAAGAGGGGAGGCGGAGCATGTGGGTAGGTTGGCAACTGCCTCCGGCGGTGGCGGACATGGACGCCGGCGGGTGCTCAAGGTCGCCGTCGTCGTTGGTGACGAAGGGTCAAAGCAGCTGCTATTTATGGAATCCATGTGCATGAAGGCCAAGTTTGGGATCTGCATGTTAGAGTGTGATATAAGATCCAGCAGAATCTTCTCCCAACAACTCGAGTTAGTGAGAGCAACTGGTTCTTGACACTGCAGAGGCGAGAAAGGGAGAGAGGGGAAGATGGACTGCAGCACAGAGGGAGAAGAGAAGAGGAAGATTGACAATCGGTGGGAGGGGGGTTACTAATTCTACTTGCACACATTATTCAGCACAAACAATGTGAATATGAGTAAAGTTACGGTGAGTAACTATGAATAACCTGCACATATCAGCACGGGGAATGGATCAGGTCAGTCAAAAGAATATATAATGGTGGAGTTTTACAGAATTTTCAGCATTCAAATTTTTCTGGCCTCTCCTTAATTTCCGGAAGGGTGTTTTAGTCCATCACAGCCTCTTAATTTCCTGTTTTCCCGCCCAAATGATACTTATTAAGTTAGTTAATCCAACTCTTGTCCCAGCCCGCAAGACGACTATGTAGTTGGGCCAGCTTTAAAGCCCAAAGCTACCCGAAATCCCACTACTGCTGCACTTATTTATGTGGAGATAAAGCAACCGTAATTACATTAACTTTTTATTTGCCCAAGTGTTTTGGTTACCAAATATGAGTTCTATTTAAGTGATTTCTTTTGTGTTACACTCTTCACAAATTAAGGTAAACTAATAACTAATTTCTTAATAATTTTGAATTTCTTAATTTTTTAATTAAGCCATGAACTTAGCACAACTTATTGAATACCAATATTTGGATGTTATGTATTTAGAGATTGGTGCATTACTCTCTCGCTGAGATTTAAAGGTTAAATGATAGAGGTTAAAGTTAGTTGATCTTTTAGTGTTTATAATACTATATATAACTTATGTATGTTACTGCCGTAAATGAACAAAGCTTATGCATGTGACTTAAATATTGTAAAATTATGATTTTTACATAATAAAATGATGAGTAATTTGAAATCAAAGAAAAACCAGTTGTATAGTTTCTAGATTATGTGTATAATATTTCAACATAAAATTATGCTTAATTTAATCACACATTAAATGAGTAAATCAAGTATAGAGAATATGTAACAACCTGTTGAATATCAAGACTGAGAATAACATCATACATAATGATGGAAATTTAAAAAAAAATCATTATTTTTGTGAATACTATTATTACATCACATTGTGAATCCTTGACAAAAATCTAAAATTTATTAAAGAAAAGATATAAAACTATTCTTATCTTATAAATCCTAAATGTAGGGGTGGGCAACGGGACGGGATTGGGTACCCGTCCCGTTTGAAACGGGTACCCATTCCCATTTGAAGAGAAAACTTCATCCCATGTCCCAAACCCATATGAGTAACGGGTACCCATTACCCGTACGGGACGGATAACGGGTACCCGCGGGTACCCGTAAAATGTGTGATTTTCGTTATTTGGACTTTCATTCACCGAAAAGACAAATGGAGTTGGCTCTAGCAATTACATTATGGTAAGGTGATTACGTTGAGTTTCAATCTCTTTCCAGTGGTTGTTGTCCTTTATTCTTTGTTTTATTCCCTAACAGATCTCTGTGGGGAAAAGTAACGTTAGATCATTTAAACTAATCATAGAATAACTAGTGTGGGTCCCGGCCAGTTGGCCGGAGGAAGGTGAGGTATGAAATTTGATAATATAATGGAGTGTATAGCTTATTGTTGTATAGTTTTTTTTTGGGAAATTCGTGATAAAAATAGTGAATTTTAGCAGGAAAGAGACATGAATGGTGTAATGAATCAAAAATCGGTCTTATGAACCAAAATCAAGTACATGTTACCTTGTGAAACAATATTGTTTCTGGTAATATGATGAGGTGGAGTAAGTTTTATAGAAACCGAATTCCAGAAAATCGAATAAAAAATCGCCTATCCCGTCGGTTTTCTGGAAATGAGCATCTCACAATCGTTGCTAGCTTTTACTCGGCCCGTTGGTCGATTAATTTGCTTTATAAAACTTTCATCTTGTCGTCAGTGTGCTTTCTGGGTTTTGTTAGGCCATGATAAAGTCTAAGGAAATCAAGAACGAATAACACAATTTGGGATAGGAACCGCCGTTGTCGTATCCTAGAAAATGGTGGTAAACACAGACTCACATGCCAAACTGGTTTGGATTGAGATTTTTATCGGGTATCAGGGAACCATGTGATTATAAATTAGAGTTGATCAAAACGGGCCAAAACTTGAAATTCAGCATGTTTTACCGACCCATGCCAAATTCTAATTATTCTTTACTTTTAAACTTTCTATTTGAAAATAAAAAATAGTGAAAGAAAAGAGATGACTGCAATTCACTATTTGCACATCACTTATTCGAGAATAAAACCATAAAAATTCAAAAGGAACTGAAAATGTTTAGGATCGTTTTAATGCTTAAAATAACCAAATAGATCGTTCTGTTTAGTTTTTTACTAACAAATACCAAACGATTCCCTATAAAATACACTATAATTTGATCATTATGATATCAAATAATTATATAATATATATTTGAAATTAGGGATGACAATTTCGACCTGACCCGATTTACCCGACCTGTTTGACCTGTTTTGGAGTAGGTCAAACCCGCCACGTAGGCAGGGTGGGGCGGGCATGGGTACCTCTTATCGACCCGACCTGCCCTGACCCGCCCCATTCTCGACCCGTTCTTGCCTTTATTACATATAATCTTAGTCAAATTACTTAGGATTTTCCTCTTATTACATTATATTTTAGCTATAATAAAGTTGTAAATAAGTGAAAACCTCAATTTCTTCAATAATTTAACTACATTTTATCATATTATGGTTTCTTTCTTGGTCTTTTAATGAAAATAACGAATGTTTCTAATGTTTTTCGCATAATTACATACCCAACGGGTCGACTTGCCCCTACCGGCGCCCCGTAATAAATTACCCGACCTGGACCCGACCTGCCATGGGACGGGTATGGATATCGAGATACCCGCCCCGGACCTGCCCCATTGCCATTCCTATTTGAAATGATAAAAATTGGACTAATTGGGTTGGTCGAGGTTGAACCATTGAATAACTTTAAAATACATTATATTTTAGCCACTAAGATATAAAATAATAGCATAATATATATTATGCCAGAGAAAATAGTTTGTTTTAGAATGACAAACCAATTATGTTCATTTGTTTTACTTGATGGCCAAATCCCGTGTAGGTCAGACCCATTCAACTCTTTTATTTTATGGTTAGCGGTTAGCCCATTAGATACCATGCATTAGTTAATTGTTAAATTTTTTATTTTTAGCAATAAAAATGAGTATTGTTTTTGCCTTTTCATATATATTTTATCACCAGGGAGAAATAAAAGGGCTTAAAGAAAAAAAATGACACTCCTGGACCCGTTTAAATCCGCGTGTGTACGGTAAGTTGGCCCGTTCCACAGAGGAAAGAGAAAAAAATTGACACTCCATATTCTACCCTTCCTACAAACGCTCCTGGAGCAGGGAATTTGAGATGGGGGAATAGTTTTTTTCTCCCTACTATTATATGTTTTTAATTTAAAAAGATACAACAAATGTACTTAGTGTGATTGGTTATGATCCTTGCTTTTCTTTAAAATGGTCATGGTTCGAATCCCATTCCGTGTCTTTTTAACGAATAAAAAAAAGTAATTGTGAAGACCAAAATGTCCTTCCTACTTTCACTCTTGTTGCAGGAAATTTGAAATGGGGCTCACGTTTTTCCCTTCGGTGTATTATATTATGTGTAGATTAATCTACAAGCCTTAATACCAACACCGTCGATAAAGTTAGATATGTGGTCTGGAGATGAAGTCTGTTTGCTATTTGATCAATTGCCGCTTCCGGACTTATGTTTATCAATATACAAAAATTCTTCCAAATCAAACAATCGCTTGGCTGGACGGGTAGTACGGGTACCCGTAATACCCAAATGGGTATTAACGGGTAACCCGTGGGTACCCATTGTAGAACTTATTGATCCCAAATCCCATCCCGTAAAATATATTGCGGGTATTTGGGTACCCGTAACCCTAAAAAAACGGGACGGGTATGGGTATACCCAAATACCCGTTTCCCGTTGCCCACCCCTACCTAAATGTATTCCGGCCAACTGGCCGGGTCCAAGCTAGTAACCTTATAGTGAGTAACTATGAGTAACCCGCCCACATCAGCATGACATCAACATTCTCTCTCTCCTGGAAAGCCTTTAATTTTCCCCTCCTTAATCTTTGACGGACGATTTCTCACTCGTTTTAAGTCGAAATTTAATTTTTTTTGCACAGTTAGATCAGATTAATTGTGCTCTTCAAAATGATATCCACTTTGATATATTTTTCGAACAAAAAAAATTGAGCCATTTTATACCAGTCTATACCATATGGTATTGACTGGTATTGAAATAAGAGCATACCTATGGTTTGAAAAGCGTACCATGGTGGTATAACACAAACCAAAACTGTAGGATGGTTGAATACATGATAGTAGAATTATATTAATTGTCATTTACGACTTTTAACATTGTATACCATAAGATACCATAAGATACCACCCCGTACCAGGGTGGTATTGTATGGTATAGTGTTGTATTTTTTTGTCTTGTAATTTGTTCACCCAGAAATTTGTAGATCCAATAGATCATGATGAACTCGTCTCTGCTGTGCAAACGTTTTCAAAAACGAATTAAAAACGAAGAAGATACCATATGGTATGCAGTTGGTACCGAGAGGCCAGAATTTTTTTTTCCTAAAAAAATATTGAAAATCGATCTCATTTTGTAGAGCACGATGAACTCGTTCCATCTGTGCAAAAAAAATTAAAATCCGAGTTAAAACGAAAAAGATATGAGTCAATTAAGAAAGCTAGTGAAAATAAAAATGACATTTAATTCTCCATCCTTAGATCTGGATTTTCTAAATGAAGGGTCCAGATTTGGTTATTGAACGCACCCTAACTTGAGCCATCAGCATGATATCAGCATCCTCTCTCTCCTGGAAAGTCTTTAATTTTCCCCTCCTTAATCTTTGACGGACGATTTCTCACTCGTTTAAGTCGAAATTTAATTTTTTTTGGACAGTTAGATCAGATTAATTGTGCTCTTCAAAATGATATCCACTTTGATATAATTTCGAACAAAAAAAAAATTGAGCCATTTTTAACCAGTCTATAC